AAAAAAAAAAAATCTTAAAAAAAAACAAAAAAGAAAAAATACACACGTAATAATAAGTTGTATTTTTGTCTGTCAAAGCTGCTGAAATACTCACAATAATAAAAGGTATCCGACTGAAAAGGTTTCACTTTTTCTAAGTGTCGGGTGTGAAGTTCTTTGCAGACATCTTTCTCGGCTCATTATGAGACTTCCCGTGCCTACGTCTAAAGCTCATTACTTAAAAATGTGAAACACAAACTGCCATGAACAAACAAAACACACTGACGTTGTTCTTCGGTCTGTGAGCATTTGTTTTGGAAAAAGACAAAAACGCTGAGCTATGTTTTTATAATGGTGAATATGTTGATCTAAAATATTAAGATCAACATATTCACCATTACCTCATTGCTTATTAGTTGCCTATTCATTCTTTATTAAACTCACTATCAATCCCATATTAATTGCTTACTCTATTTGGCCATTAAATAAGAGTTTTCCTTCATAGAATACAATGTTACCATGCTTTGCTCCGTCTGGGCCTTATAAGGTGGAGGAACCGTGAGAGTAGATATTTCCTTTAATAGCGCTTAAAAAAAAAAAAACGCAGCCTATTTTTGTGCAACTAAACTACAAGCATTAAGAGCTCCAATTTCAGTCTCTATGACTGTTTCTGGATCGATGGTGAAGTTTCTATTTAGTTAATGGCCCAGAGGGTGTGCATAGAGCATGATTATGCTTAGTAGGGCATTATAATTGTATGACAACTATGTAATAAACAAATAGAAATTGAGCGCCATAGCACAAAGTTTTACCAAACGTTAACTCCGACTCTTTAACACTGCATTAACCTAGCACTGTTACAGTATGATATGATTTGAATCCAGCAGGGGCAGAAAGATGTTTATATGTACGCGTCTTTGTCTTATCCCTTGTCAAATAGTTGTCGTCTTCAGCTTCAGACTATTATGAGGCTCCCTCTTTAGCTACCAAACTTTAAAAGCTGGACTTTAATCACTGTTGGCTAATAAGAGAAAAACCACATTGGCTGATTTAATACTGGAGCTTTATAGTTTCTTTGCTTTCCTGTGAAAACCTAAGAAACTGTCTTTCTAAAATGGGCAGTTTCTCCTGGTCTTTTAGTGCTTCAGCGATTTCTGCTATTTCTACACTTTATCTCAGCCTATACAGGAGCACTACATATTTCATTTTTTTGTATGTGAAAATGTGTTGTTTTTGAAGCACAGCTGTATAGCTCATACATCTACAATTTACACAGCAGCATTGTTGGCCTCCTAAAAATCACCAAGACACCGGTGACCCTTCAAGGGTCAAAGTTAGGTTAACGACTGCCCCTTTTTTGATTGATTCTCACACAAATTGAAAAGGCTTTTAACAAAATGTATGTGACTTGATTTGAGAGGTAAATTTATGTAGGTGCTAAAAAAAATTTGGCTGGATGAATACAACAGGCACGCTGGTGTCAAACGTATCTAACACATGTTTATATGCAGTTTAAGTGAAAAATAACAAAAACACATAAAAATTCATTCTGACAGCACAACATAACTAACTTTTAAAACTTCTATTTGAAAGCTAGATTAATGAACACTTTTAAAACTGCTCATTCATTTGTGTGTGTGTGTGTGTGTGTGTGTGTGTGTGTGTGTGTAAGAAATACTGCTAAATATTGAAGCTTGGAGGGTGAAGCTCTTTAAATAAGAGTGCAGCCACTTTGTCGGCTCAAACGTGCTGCACTGAAGCGCTGCAGCAGAGCGTTTGGTCTTTGTGAACATAAATGGTCATGACATTTTATGGCTGGAGAAGTGCAGTGAGTCATAGAAGGACATTAAGTGTTCAAGTGTGTGTGTCTAAGAGACAGAAAAGTTCTGCTCTCCTCTGCTGTTTACATACTGCAGCTTAATGTGTCTGTGATGACAGCTACGTCACAGTGCAGACCCATTTATGTAAGCAAAGTTTACACGTTCACTTATATACTGCAAGTGTGTGTGTGTGGAGCAGAGTGCAAGGATTGCCAGCTCCATGTGCGGCAGGATTGTGGGAAATAGGATGAACGAGAGAGGCATCAGGTTGAGTCTCGGCTGAGTGCGAAGTACAAAATCTGTGTCCAACACCCAGTGTGGCTGCAGCTGCCTCTTCACTGTTTCATCCTCTGGTTTTAGTTCAGCGTTGGAGCGATTCTGTGATATTTTATACAATGATAGTGTGCAGGTTTAATAAAAAAACTGAATTATTATAGAAGCATTATAGTATTACAGAAGAAATGGGTTTTGTTTGGTCTTTTTTAAGAGGAGCATTTCAATTTCAGCTTGTGCCAGCTTGTTTTCAGTCATACTAGTGGCACCTCTTATGAGGAAGGAAATGACAGTCTGCTGGTAGGTTCACTACTTTGAACAAGACTAATATAGACTCTTCGGCCACTTAGGTACATCAGCTAATTACAGAAAACTGAGGTTGTATTTCATACAGGCTCACTAACAGCAGACAATAAGAGACTGAAAAACATTCTAAGATCAGAATGCGAAAGTATTGCCATCGTGTCTTGAATCAACGGTTCAGACTGGTGGTAATTTAATGGTGTGAGGGATACTTTCTCAGCACACTGTGGGCTCCTTAGTACAGACTGTGCATCATTTAAACACCAAAACATACCTGAGTATCTCTTTATGATCAGTGTACCCATCTTCTGAAGGCTGCTTCCAACAGGATGGCACCATGCATGTCACAAAGCTCAGATCATCTCAAACTGGTTTCTTAAACATAACAATGAGTTCACTGTGCTCAAATGGCCTCGACAACCACCAGCTCTCAGTCCAACAGAGCATCTCTGGAAATTCACATCATGCATGTGCAGCAGACAAGTCTGCATCAACTATGGGATCCTATTGTGTTAGTACGGACTAAAATCTCTGAGGAGTGTCTCCAGCAACTTGTTGGGTGGGTGTACCACAAACAATTAAGGCAGCTACAAAGATAAAAAGGGACCCAATCCAATAAGGTGTACCTAATGAAGTGACCAGTGAGAATATCTCATGAAGTAGCACCTGTATTTTCATGAGTTTTTGTTTTGTTTTTTGTAAAAAGCAATTTATGTATGTATTTGGCACCTCAGGGCCACCATACATTTCCACCAGCCTAAGCTTCTACATGTTCACAAAGTAAACAGCACGTGATCATGATGACATGTGTTTTTAAATGATTATTTCGCATCTGCAGACCTACACATTACTGGGATATGTATGTCACATAAATACTGTATAATCAATAATAGTAGTAACCTGTGCAAGCAGAGGCTTGATCCAGCTCTCTCACTGAGCAGCATCATGTAATCACTAACATGTGGGTGCGAGGATGACAGTAATATCATAAGTCTGTGCGAACAAAGAGCTTTTTTCCCCCCCATCGCTGCAGAAATCTGCTATTGCTGACCTGATTTCAGATCAACAGGTGACACGCAGGACCTTAATCTGAATGCTGCCACAGCTGGAAACACGTGGAGCGAGCACACACTGCCTTTGAAGCCTCAGCAGCAGCTGAGGGTGTATGTTTCTGTGAAATATAATCAGGTTATTAAAAAATTTAAAAATAAAACAAAAACATTTGGATAATTTGGGGGTTGTAGATATTAAATTCTTACCTAATATACTGAAATTCATAAAAGCTGAATTGTAGTTTACTGTCATCTTCGCAAATATGTGAAAAAGTAAAGTTTTATTTGCTCCAAGGTTGACTAATGAAAAAAATAATAAATGCATATTTAAATTATTCTTTAATTTCAAGACTTTAATCATTTGAATTGCCTAAAAGCGCTTATAAAATTCGGGGGGGGGGGAGGAACTGCAGCTGCAGGTGGAGTGCTAAAAGGCAACATTTGCTTCTAAATTCCAATTTAGCAGGTCCAAGCTTGCACCGACCTGCAGAGTGGGGGCGCAGTGGAGAGGGTGGAGGGAGTCTCAGTTTCCCAGGCTGTCACATCAGCAAACATAAGAGAAAAAAACGACAAATCCCTCCTCTGCATTCACACAAACTCTGCTCTAGCATGACTGCGGGATATTTTAGGAGCTCACCTGCTTCTAAATCTATTCAGCAGTGACGAGAATACACTGTCCGCACAGAGGAGGAGTGCGCATGTGCAAGTGTGCCAGAATAAGTTTGAGGTGTGAGAGCGGCAGCGGCTGCTACTGCCGGTGGCTGCTGCGAGTGTGAACCTAACAAAGGCATAGCCTCCCGTTGGTGCTGTAGCATCGTCATCCACGCCCAGACTGTACAGTAAGTCTGCCAGTCAGGTAACCCGTGGTAACAGAGGAAGCACAGCAGGAGTGCTTTCAAAATAAAGGCTTAGCATCGCACAAGTGATAAGGGACAAAATCTAATTAGATTCTCTTCAGTACAGGAATAGCATAATGATTTCAGCTTATTTTATCTCCAGAGTGTTTATTAGTAAGCACCAGAAGCAAAAATGATTTGAAAGAAGGCTTCTAATTAACAGCCGATTACCCCAGGGGGACCCAGTACTCCAGGGGGCCATTAAAAAAGTACTAATTTAGCAGTAAATGTGTTTGGGAATAAGTGCAGCAGAAGTAAACATGGCTCAGAAATAATAGTGATTATTTGTATAAATGATTAGCCCCAAATGAGTTCTGCTGCTTTGTTTAGGGTGTATAATCATATTGTGCTTTGCTTATATTGAAAGCTAAATAGCAATTTGCTCTCCTAAATACTGTCATAAAGTATCTACCAGGCCTCAAAATAGATCTAAACAAGTCGGTATTTATTCAACCTACCTAACCTGAAATTCTGTCTCCATAATGTAGCTATTGTACCCCATAACAGCAGTTAATCTTCTCGATTTGGAGAAGTTTTTTGCTGGCTTCCAGCTTTATCTGGATCCAAAACCACTCAAGTGTGAGATGTAGAGGGATTTAGGATGAGAATAAAAAAAGAGCACCTAAAAAAAGTTGTTTTATTTTGTAAGCAGGAAAAGGAAGCCCAGTGTTTGACGACAGGTGAGTTGACGTTGAGGTTCAGGCGACACAGAAAAGCACCGGGCAGTGCGCTTGGTTCGCAGGAGAGGAGTACAGCTGGGGGAAGGAGAGCTTGTTGTGGCGGCGGATGGAGTTTCACCTCCCGGCTGTTACCGGCAGGAGCGTCAGAGACGAGAAGCGGAGGGGAGTGAGAGTTGGGAGTGAGAAGGAGTTTGTTTTTCCTTTTTGTCCCCCCTCTCTCTTTTAAACCCTGGTTACTCTTCACTTCACACTTCAGGGATTCGCTTCGGTTCTCCCCGCTGCTCCTGATTGCACTGCACCGGGGAGAAGTGCAGTGAAGCGGACCCGTGCATGCCCGTGAACTTAGGAGAGCAGTGCGCGCCAGAGCTGATCTGCAGCATCAGTAACACCTATTTCCACCGTGCAGCAGCAGCAGCAGCATGCAGTGATAGGAATCCTTTCTGATGCTTTCCCACACCAGACAGTGAAGAAAGGTGTCGGGGGTGGGAGGAAAGGAGGCGTATATGGGAGATTTGTTGGATTTCTATTTCCTTGTCGTTGCAAACTTGTGTCCGGGATGGGGAAGGAGCAGGAGCTGCTGGAAGCCGCCCGGACTGGGAATGTCGCCTTGGTGGAGAAATTGTTGAGCGGAAAGAAGGGAATACTGGGGTCAGGCTCCGGCTCCATCCCTCTGCCCAACCTACTAAGGTAAGCAGCCTGCTTGAATTTGCTTCCCATGACCGCAACAATGTCCGGAGGGGCGGGGAACCCCGGAGGGGGGAGTGCTGGAGGGGATTCCACAGGGTGGAGGGGTCCACTCTGTAAAAATTAGGCACATTTTAGCTTCATCTCAGGTCAGTGCACGAGAAATGAGCCAAGAAACCGCAGCTCCAGTCAGCCAGCCCTCCTCTGAGCTGCAGAAAAAGACCTCCGCACTGAACACTGTGTCAGCTGCTCGGTACCACCACAGGGCTTCTCGGAGACAATAGGGGTGTTTAGGGGGCTCTTCGTGTTCGGTTGCAAAACCCTGGTTGACACAGGAGGGGAAGAGGAATGTTATGCAAAGTCCAGAGACCAGCATGTGAAGCAAAGTGCACTTTTAAAGCCACACAAACGAGCATCAGGCCAAATCATAACTAGACACAGCACCCTGTTATCCCAGGCAGAATTTGTCAATATGTGACAGTTTAATGGGGAGTCAGCTCCTGTCCTCTGCTGATCCCACGACTGGGTCGAGTGTTTAGAGAGGGCGAGAGAGTTCCACACACTGACAGAATGCAAGTGTTTGTAATTTTCAGTTCAGTCTGTTTTATATATGTTTTTGTGCAGCTATGAGGTATTTCCGGGAAAATATTATTATTGCTAAACTGATGCCGGTGTGGTATTTATATCGCACCATGGCGTTTTATTTTTATTTTTTACATGATGCTGGAAAGGCCTGACAGGCACAGCGTCCAAGTTGGCTTTGAAGCTGCTCTGCAGCATTCATGTGCTTCTTTGTGAGAAGACAAATGGTAAACAAACACTGGATCCTCTAACAAAAGGGGATGTGGATTTCACTCGAACTGGCTGCTTCTTCAAACACGAAGAGGTACGTGAGCTGTGTCAGGAAATGCTGTTTGTTGTCAGGTTAACAGGTGGCACTGTGTTCAGAGGCTCCAGATTTCACCTTGTAACCTTGAATGATGCATAACAGGTAAATTCATCAGTTTCGGTATGCTGGGGCGTGATCACATTGTAGCGTGAAACTACAACCTTTAAATGACCCCCCCCCCAAAAAAAAAAGGTTTAAATCTCCCTTCCAGAGCAACTGCTGTGGTTATTATTGTCCTCCTCCTGCCCCTGCAGCCGCTCCCTGCTCGCTTTTCGGGCCCAGGCTGAGCCAGGTGATTAGGAGATCAAAGAAGGGGGGCGTTTGGGAAGAGTACAGCCTCAGGCTTCCCGAGCAGAACGTCTCATGACTGGGATAAGGTCGCATGCTTGCGGGGAGAAGACAAACCAGTCCACTACAGGTGTCAGCACCTCTGTCGGGGTCTTAAAGAGTCCTTATTCAAATAGAGACATCGTGATTCAAGTTCTGTTTAATTAGTCAGACGTTAGCTACATTCGAAGACAGCCAGATCTGAAGATTAGTGTCTTCACAACCCAAAGAAATGGGAGAGACAGCCGTGCTTTGAGACATTCAGCCCAAGTGTAAAAGCACAGAGAGGAATCACAGCACATGGTGTCTGTAATGTGCAGTTGGTGATAATTTCTGCAGCCCTTGTTGTGTGAATAATACATGTAATAGAAAAAGAGAGAGAAGCTCCCCGCTGGCTGCAACAAGTTGTGATCAAGACAGGACAGATTTTTGCTTCACTCCTCATTATGATACCTGTGGTCATGTTCTGCATTTAGTTGATCCCATGTATTTGTGTTCTTCTGTTTTTTGGATGCTAATTTCCTCTCTGAGATAATAAAGTAACTGACTTTTTGTTTAGGTAGAGGAAGGAGTTGGTGAACCTGTTTGCTCGCTCTTGTTCTTCTTTTTGGTTCATTGGTGGCAAAAGTCTTCTGTAGTAGAGAGCCGGCAAGTGAAACACGAGTGTGTGAGGACAGGAGCCGGCTGACTGAACGTTCACAATTGGAGAGGATGTTGTCTCGTTAGAGTAATCCATCCACACAACCATACATTTATTATCTTCTGCTTATGCAAAGTTGGTTGTAGTAGCTACATGCTATTCCAGTTCATCCTCGGGGATCCCAAAGTGCTCCCATGAAGTGTTAGATGAATTATATAATCTCTTCAGTGAGTTCTGAGGGTGTCTCTCTAGATAGGTGAGGAAAATCTCCAAAGGAAGGCATCAGGGAGGCAACCAGATCAGATGCCCAAACCCTCTCACTGTGATTCTATTCTGAGCTCCCTGCGGATGTCTGCGCTCATCATCTCATCTCTAATGCTGAGCCAAGCAACCAACACAGGAAACTTGTTTCAGCTGATCGTATCTGCAAAAGAGATGTCGCGATACCAGAAATGTAGTCATTATGGATGCCAGTAGAATTACATGATTCTCGATAGCCAATCGGATACTTCAACAAAATGATTACTCAGTGTACTTAAACATAACCTCCATCCATCCTCCTCCTATCACTTATCCAAGTCTTCTAAACCAGCCATGAGATATAATCTCACCAGCGTGTCCTGGGTCTGCTCCAAGGCCTCCTCTAGGTGAGACATGCCCAGAACACCTCACCTGTGAGGCACCTGGCACCATTCTGGTCAGATGCCCGAATTACCTCAACTGGCTCCTTTCGATGTTGGGGAACGGCAGCTGTACTCTGAGCTCCTTCCGAATGGCCAAGCTCCTCACCTTATCCCTAATGTTGAGCTCGGCCATCCATCAGAAGAAGCTCATTGATCATGTTGAATTAAAACTCCCCTTGAATTCTCAGAAGAGGTCTGGATATTGGGCTTTAAGTTGCTTTGCCAAATTAGGAGTTTTTCCTGCTTTTCACTACCCAGAACTTGTGACCATAGGTGAGAGTTGGGATGTTGTACATTGGTAAATTTAAGAAGTTTAACTTGGGATATACCCAATTCACATTACTAATATTTATTTTGGTTGTCGCCACTACACGTCACTGAATTTCATTGACTGATTGATTTGATTTCCATGCTTTCTGGTTAGTGCATCTCTGCTACTCTGTTTCTGTGTGGACTTTCCCTTAGGCCCCGTATGCCCGAAACCCTGTTCATGGTGCTGTGTTATGGATTCTTCGTTTTGTCATATTTAAAAGTAAATTAACATTAGTTTGGGGCGATGGCGTTTCTTTATCCTGTCTGCAAAAATGTGCGTTGATAAAAGGGATTTAACTAAACAACGACACCCAGTTTGTTACTGTCTGTATCTCATCTCTGATGTCCTAGAACTGTACACATTGTTCCGTATCGTGTTTACTTTATGAATTAGGTTTGGGAGTTTAATTTATCGAAGGGTGAAAAGCCAGATTTTCCACTGAGGGGGTGGGGGTGGTAAGAGGTGGAGTGTTTAGGTCATTACAGCATGAGAAACAAAGCGCAGTAGCTAGAATGAAACATGATTAATTTGAAGGGTGAAGTCGAGGTCAGTCAGATGCATTATGGGTGGAAATACTGTATGTCTACAGGTCATTTTCAGTGAGTTATGTCTGCTGTTACACATACTTGACTTTTATTCAGTCAAGACACAGGCCCCTGAGGAGATGCCTGAAAACTCCCATAGGCTACACACACACAAACACGCAGACACGCACAGATGTGGCAGTCTTGTTAGAGTCATGTGTGTGTGACCAGATGTGTGACGCACCTCCTAATAGAGAGCTTTTTGTGCTTTAGCAGATGAATGAGTCAACAGAGAGGTCATAGTGATCGGAGGAGCGAGTGCAGGCTAATGTTGTGGGAATGATCTCCAAAATCGATGCATACTTTCCCATCTTAAGGCCTCTGAGCCATTCACGGCATTCCTAAGTCATGAGGTTCCTCTGAAAGAATCGCACTAAACCGCCAAGTGGGACACGAACATTAGGCGCACACGTACTGTATAAACACACTAGAGGAGGATGTAGAGAAGGCGATCCTTTGCTGCAGTTTTGTGGCGTGGAGTGCTCCACATGAACACACGTGCACGGTGGAAAATCAATAGTGGATGATCTCATCACTCTTTAATGGGCCACATTCTCATCTAGATGACCCGTACTGTACACGGTGGCTGTTTGTCTGTGCTGGGAGGGAACAATAAATAATAAAAACCATCCCCGAAACACTTACAGCTGCACGTCCTTGTAATATTTACGTTACATAATGTTGCATAATTTACAGAGAGCCTGTATTAGTGGCACATCTGAGTTTTGTGAATATGAAAAACAGACCTCGGGGATTGGTCATGTCTGGTTGAAAGCTGAGCTGCTTAATCAAATCAGTCCTGGCACTGACACCAAGCCAGTGACTCAGAGTGGCCAATGTCTAATTTTAACAAATGTGCCTCCTCTTTGTGGCAGTTGTTCAGAGAAGACAAAACCTTTTATCATATCCTTTTTTTATATGAAATGCCATGTCCTGGTTTGTGGCTTTTAAACCGATTCTTTGGTGTTTTTTTTACCTTACTCGTTGTGCATTTTTTTTTGTTGGGCTTGTGACATGCCAGCTTCACTTGTCAGAGTTTGCGCTGGTCCTCATTTCATATATTTCGCTGAAGCTGTGCATTTTTGTCCTGTTGGAGCATTAGCATCTAATCTGATCACGCCACGTATGTAGTTAACGTGTTATTTAATAGTGGTAGACAAACAGCTTCTGTGCGTATCAAATGCCCCAAAGCAGAACTATCTCTAGATAATGGCAACGCTACGTTCTGAAGGTGGCTTCTTCTTTTTTTGTGGATAGTTCCTTTTTATTTAGTTCAATTCAATAAAACTTTATTGATCCCGAATTTGGCCCCGAAGAAAATTGGAACTTAAAAAGGAAGAGAAAGCAAAAAAATAACTGGTTTAAATACATTTGGCCAATATTTCTAAACAGCAAAACCCCAACTTTTTCCATAAAGCTGATTTTTGGGGGTGAGCAACATAAATTAAAGAGCCGTTTGGAGTATTTTTGAATACGAAAACAAGGCTTCATTATATTATATTATATTATATTATATTGGACTGTCTTCTTTGAAGTAGTAAGATGCTGCATTGTAAATGTTTTATTT